GGGGGGGAGGGGCAGGTGCGTAGCTGCTCAGATTTTGAGTTTTAATCAGACCTTTCTCGAGAGTGTTTGAAAAGTTATTGCCCTTCATCAAGGATACTATCGTTGTCAAAATGATTGCATTTAACATTCTACACCTCTTTTTGCACTTTAGGAATTTTTGCATCGCCGTTGCGACAAGTTTTGGCGAGAACGTGAAGCTGACCAAGGAAGACGCCCAGAACTTGTCGATGAAGATTTTACCAAAGATTATGATGATAACTTTTCTCAGTGGGGAAACTACTTTAAGTTTAGTGATGACCGTCACGCACACAACGAGAGGTTATCGCCAGACAAATCAGGGGACCAAACCAATCACAGAGGAGATCGTTTCTGCTCAAGAGACGATAGAGAATGGTTTGCCAACAGAGAATTTACAGGTAATTAAGATCTAATTACAAAACATTCCTCACCAAAAAGGCGATGTTTGATAAAAAAAAAAAAAAAAAACGCGTTTGTTTGGGGTAGTTCGTCTAATGAACAACAACTTCCCGCAGTTGACTTAGCTTGTTGCTATTAGCTCTGAAGAAGGGCTATAAACGCTCGAAACGTCAGCTTTGGAAACTCTTTCCGGTGATCAATCAACAGTATCAGCTCGGTTGGTAAACGTTTGTGAATATATGAAAATCATATATATGAACTACGGTGAAAGTAGTGAGTATGAGAGCGATCTTCGTAGTAATGAACACTACTTATTTTCACCACAGCTTAAGTCGTGTTCACTACTGCTAAGATCGCTCTCATACTCATCAGTTGATAAAACCAAATTACCTCGTTTAACTCCTCCACCAAAGCAGCACCACAGTTTCAGTAAAAACGTACCCCTTATATACTCTTTAGCGGAGTTGGTCGATTGGGAGAATCAGCATTCCAGGGTTTTTGTTGTAGCAATTACTGTGCTTGTGCTTGGACAGTGCATGCCGCCTGACCAGAATCTGGAATTTTAATGTGTTACTTTTCTGTTACTCTGCAGAAGAGACCCGACGTCATTTTCCACCATCAGATCAAAATGTACATTGGCCAAGATGGGAGACATTGCCACCTTGCAGTCAAACCAGAAAGCCATCTAACGTGGATGTCACGAAGGACACACTCAAACACGTAGCCCGGGGTCATGACCCAAGATCCTCAACTCCAACAGAGGGAAGGCCAAGGTCAGATGAGTGGCTGAGGAACATTCACAGAAATTTCAGAGGTAGAGATCGCCACAGTGCTTCTCCTGTGAACGTTCACTCTAAGACATTTGGTCATCCTGGCTCTCCACTTGCATGTAATGCCTCATCAAAAACAACAGGTGACTCCGCTCGCTCGAGAAGAGGTCGTAGCAGTTTGTCCCCTGAGAGAAATATACACTCTAGGAATGGAAGACGCAATAGAAGTTCTTCAGTCGACAAAGGGTTTGCCTTCAAAACTCGTGAATCTTCACCAATGAATGGAAGATCAAGCCACTACAATGAGCAAAGCTTTGGGAGAAAGTTAAGAGAAAGTCGAAGTTTCTCACCAAACATAAATACAAGGACGTCTTGGCCGAGAGGACGTGACAACGACAGTAAAGACATCGACCTTCGTCGTTCTTTAATGATGCATCAACACGGGAAACATTCATCTTCGCGAGAAAGAGATAGAGATCGAGATAGAGAGAATAGTCTAAAGAACTCACTTAGAGGGACGAGAATCTCTCCGGAGAAACATAGGAGCGAAGCATCATCTTCTGGTCAAGTCACTAACAGGAAAAGACGCAGGGAAAACGACGGCAGAAGAGATGGCAGAACTAAAAGAAGTAAGTTTTCATGAGTCAGCGTTGCCGAGTGGTTGGGGTGCTGGACTTGTAATTTGGCTTGGGCTTGTGTCAATTTTTGCTGGGTATGTGCTGCTGGTCGCTCCTGGAACTCCTACCCCATTGAAGTCAATTCTTTGGCCAATGATGAACGCCAACTTAGGCATTTTCTGTAATACGGTTATAAATTTGTCACGGCGAATCTTCGTGCAGTCGTATATGAGTTGACACAGCTAAGAATTTGCATTATAATCGAACTTTGTCACAAACAGACAAAAAACGTGGCTCTTCAAAGAAATTAATTTTTCTCGTTTCTTTTGGATTTTTCTTTCATAGGTAGGCAAACAAGTGTGAGTATGTGTGACAATGCGTCGAGCGAACCTGAAAACGGGAACTATGATTGCACCCGGAAGAGAGGAAAAAAAGAAACTGACGAAAGAAAAAAGTTATCACCACGAGATCATGAACGAAAAAGAAGACAGGTAAAGGACAACACACGCCACTAAAATTAGGATTCATTGCTGTATTACGTTTAGCTCGTGGCGAGAGATACGGTGTCCTAGTTGCTAGATTCCAGGCCTCGGTTGTTCGACGGATGGATAACGCTACACACTGGATAAATCTCTATCAGGTGGATAGCGCAGTACGTTTTCTAACACTTGTCCACTGGATAGCGATTTATCCGTCCTTTGAACAACCGGAGCCAGGATTCTTGGGTGCTGGACCCTGGATGGAGAACTCCATGTTCAATCCCTGGTATGGATCATCGAGAGCTGGTCTTAAAAGTCATTATTGTTCGCAGACTTCCATTTTTACTTGTATCGATTCCCAGTCAACGTTTATCCAATGATTCATACGGATCAATGTCAGTATCTGAGCAACTGCGAGCCTACCCCTCCCCTAGTTTATTGTTGCTGGGTTAGGGGAGGGGTGGGTGTGCACTCGCTCAGGTATATACACTCATTCACACGAACCTCTCTCCAGAAACGAGTGAAATTAGGGAGGATATTTACTATAACCGATGTTTTTATTTTTTTATTTCTCTTACAGCTAAGGGATCCCACAGCAAGTAATTCTAACACAAAGAGAGCGGATCGTTTTTTAAGTAACCTGGCTGTAACGCTGGCACAAGGCAAGGTTCCTACCAAAAGACCCGAAACTAAGTTAAATGCTTCAAAAAAGAACGCATCGACCAGTGGTAATTCTGGTCTAATAAAGTGTACGGGAAGTAAAGCAGAGCTCTCTGTAAACCCAGCCAGTGAGTCTGAAGGATCCAGACCTGATGAAAAGAGGAAACCTGAGCAAGAGAAGGCCACCCCTCCCACTCCTCCCTCGGATAAAGAAAAACAATCGTCAAACATAGATGAGGATATCAGTTGCGCAGAAGGGGAAGCGGGGGGTGACTATGAAGAAAGTATCATCGGAGCAGAAGTTTCATCGTGTAATGACCCTTCAGACCAGGAAGAAGAGCAGGAAACTGACGGTAATGATAGCTCCAATTTGTCGGAGGATGATTCAGAACATGCAGATTCATATGAGAACAGTATCTCCCACGAAGATGACTTTTTGAACGTAGATGAAGACTCAAGCTCTATTGTTGATGATGGGGTTGATGACGAACGGCTGGAAATCAGTGACATTGATAGAGACGGAACAGGTGAACGCGACGAATGCTCTAATTTTTCTACAGGAAATTCAGAAAATGGTTATCACTTCGACATTAAGGGAAATGGATTACAACCTGGCAACCTTTCTTCAGATGAGGAGTTTTCGAAATTAAACATTGCAGGAAATAAAGACATGATGGAAGTTGATAACATTGATTTGCGAGATTCCCACTCCTCTGAGACCTGGAAAAAAACGGATTACAGTGAGGAGATGTCAGAAGAGGAAAACAAAACCTGTCACGTTGACCAGCAAACGAACTCAGATGAGTCCTTTGGAGAGCCGAATCTCAAGCAAGAGATCGAGGAGTACAAAGGAAATGTCACACATGAGGAAATTGCGTCAACGACTGTACATCGTGCTCACGGGGAAATCTCTGCAGTGAACGGGAAGCTACCTGAATGGGAAGTAGATGGAGAATCTTGTCATCTAAATGCGAGAGATGACATGGGTAGTACTACCATTCGCAAGGAATTTTCTAAGAAAGTATCGTCAGGAACCAAAGTTTTAAAAATGTTACCCGACAACGTATTGACTCACGATGAAGACGAGGCTGATGGAAGCGAATGGCAGAGGGAGGAACATGACGCAATGCTTCAAAGTAAGGACAATTATGAAGAGACTGGCATGGAGTCCGTTTCAGACGACATTTCCCCGGGTCCAAACTCGTTAACTAAGACGTCTTGTTTACCTGTTCCGTCGAGTAACGCAGAAAATGACGGTAGGCAGGGAGACAATTTTAACCTACAACTTGCTTCGTCTCAAGGTGGTTATAATGATGATCAATTTATATACAGCCGGAGCGGTCCTAAAGTGCCTCTTACGAAGACAAGCATCAGCAGTTTAAAGGTCGGTTCAGGTCCTTTAAATCAGGGAAGTTATAACGAGGATAAATCTAATTATAACAGGAGTAAGAAACCGGTATGTAGCACAGAATGCCAGCATGTGAGCATGTGCAGCATAAGAGACTCGAAAGAAGGTAAAGGAGAGTTAAAGAATGATAACCGGAAAGACTCCCATAAAGCTGACAATGAAGATAAGAGAGACCACAGAAATGTTGGGTTGGACTACTGGGAGAGTGATGTCAAGAAGAAAACCACTCACATAGCTGCGGCTTTTCAAATATGCGAAGATACCGTTTCGTATGCCACATGCAAAGATAAATTTTTGTGCAAGCAAGGAGAAGTTTATACCCCTGGAGAAATCCGAGGAGCACAAAAAGAAGTCTGTCATCACAATGAAGATGGCCTTGTTCATAACTTGAATGTGAAAGGTGTTAGAGAACCTGAGGTCTCTATTTCGGATAGAGAACAAGATTTGTCTAAAGAGGAAGCTGGTGAAAAAAGTGTTTTGGAAGTAGACGGTGACATTTTTGAGGATAATCTCGGTCAAGAACATGCAATGTGTAATATGGAAACTTCAAATGACACCAAAACAAAGGTAGGTACTCGTGACCTTTCTGACTCTCTAGAAGAAACATATCTGGAAAGCCTCGGGCGAAGCGGAGAGGTCTTGCCGCCTGGGAAAGACGCTATCCCCTCGCGGACTGCACATCTTCAAAGTGTTGATACGGACACAAGCTTAGATGGGGAGATTCAAGACTTTTGGAAAGGATCATCAGTATGTGTGGATAATGACACTGCTGTTGCTGAAGATGGTGATGGAAACACACCTTATTCTCCCAGCAGTCCAACCTGGACAAGTGAGGAACACCGCTCACCACTCCCGAAAGATGAAATGTCGCCATATTCTCCGAGTCATCCAACCAGCTTGAGCGGAAGTGACGCACAACGAAGTATTATCGTGGAAGACTTTTCTAACGAGGACAGTAAATGTGATGACATTGAACCAGTTTTTGACACGATGGACGTGGGTTGTGATTTACCAGTGGAGGAAGATGTTACAATCAACAGTGGCAGCACAAAAGGGCCCTTTCCAAGTTCGTTCATATTTTGCAGCTCAACAAAATCTAAATTTGAAGTACCTCAAGGGAAATCAATACTCAACGATATAACTGAGGAAAAGGTTTTAGGAGGACCCATGATACCAAATACCAAGATAGAAACCCGCAACGTGAAGGACGAGAACCTTAACTGTGATGAAGGGGGCCATGGCAAGGATAGTGAGGTTTTGTTAGATAATCCAGTCACAGAAAATATTTCTAAAGACGATCTCAGGTATTTGAAATATCAAGATGGAACAGATAATTTGGTACCACTTGCCTCAGTGGATGTCAAGCCTAAAATAGAATATAGAACAACCACAAAAGTGCACGAGGCTGATGATACTAAAGTTTTGTTAGATAATTCTGTTAAGGAAAGGAGTCATAACAATGGCCGCAGTTCTTTGAGATGCCAAGAGAGAACGCAAAGTTTGCCGACTTCTGCCTCCATGGATGTGATACCCAAGAAGGCTTATGTAACCTCCGCCAAAACTTACCTCCTTTACACCGACTGCGGAACTCAGCACAAACCCCGCATATTTTATGCAACTGATGATACCAGTGCTGGACCTGCGAGGTCTCTCTCCTTGGATTTAGCCTGGTCTTTGGCTAAGTACTCTGTACCAGGCCCCTCCAAAGCGTCAGCAAACAGTGAAGAGGAGCAGCAGGAGACAGTTGCTGAAAAAGCTGATTTAGAAATCAGTGAAGAGGAGAAAAATCCTGACAATGTTGTCGAACCATTGTTGTCTAGTGTTCCGTGTAGTTTTGGTTCGCCTTTGAAATCGAATGAAGGCACATCTGAGAATGGCAATCAGAAGGTTACCCAATTCGATGGTTTATTCAACAATTTAAGGTCTGATAACTTGGCTGTGTTACAGGATCCAGGACCTGGTAATTGTGCCGACTCAAGAGTGAAGGGCAGGGCAAATACGGCGTCAAATACTTCTTTTCCTAATTCAGATGACATTATTATTGCTCCCAGCTCAGATTCAGGAAATAAAGAGCTATTGGCTACGCTAACGCCTTTGCAGCCAAACGAAAAAGAGGCGCCTGTTAAAGATCATGGAAGAAGGCCGCCGGGACTTGTATCTTATAATGAGGTATCGTTGAATTTTCAAGCACCATGTGGGACGAATATAAAAGACTACTCCACAGCCGCTGACCATCATATCGCTACCTCGTCAAAAGTATCAAAAACAAAATCAATATCAAACTTGGCTAGTTCTGATATCAGTAAAAACAACTTTAGGCCTGATGAGACTTCGGTAACCTCTGTGGTGACGGGCAATATGCCTGTTGCATGTGCGAGTGATATTTGCGCATGTGGGCATGATGACCAGATGATGCCTCTACTAAAGTGTTCAAATCAGGTTCAGAGCACAAATCCGCAGATGCAGGATGAAAATGAGAATGACTTTGAAAGTGACAGAGGAATTCAAACGCAGGCTTCAGTTAGTCAAAATGGAGACAAAACATCTCATTCAAGCCCCGCTGACATTAAGAGGACCTGCCCTGATTCCCAGGATGAATCTTTTCGCGCCAACAAAGTGGCTCGGAAAGCTCTCAAACTTATCATGCCAACAGATCGAACACCTGATCGCCGTGGGAAAACGAACCCAAATTCTGCTTTTTGTATAGGAGACTCTAAGAAAACCAGCTCTTGCACGATCACTTCTGCAGACATGGATATTGTTACAGCGGTAAGCCCTACGAATGTTGTGCTAGGCGATTCTTTTTTCACTAATGAACCAAATCATCTTGGTAAGGGTGTGTACGCAGAAAATGATTCCAGTTGTGGTAATATCAGCATAAAAAACGGACACAGTCACACTGTCAAGAATGACCGTTTTACTTGTGCACTGAAAACTGGCACTTTGCCACCGACGAGGAATATCGAAATTCACAGTCAAAGTCGGTCAATCCTTGGTGCTATCAATATCAATGATCACACAACCAAGAGGATCCTGCCGGACGGTGAGACTAGTTGTAGAAGAAAAGAAAGTGATTGGGTCGCTCTCAAGATGGAAAAGCTTCGGAAAAAGAAAGAGGAGATAGAGCAGGTGAGTAATACCATCGACTTATTTTCACTCCGGAAAAAAATGACAAACTCTTGTGCTTTTCTCCCTTATCATTGGTGCAAATTGAAGGTACATCTTTTTAAAGATTAAAATCTTCAAAATCAAAGGGTACATTAAGATTAAATCAAGATTGAAATCTTCAAAAATCCTTGCGAGGGATCCGGTAAGGCAGTTTTGTCCAATTCCTCTCTAATTTTGAGCGAGGTCGTCTTCAAATTTGCCGCCTCATCGGTTATAAATAATTAATGATGTCGTCCCGTTCTGCCTGATACGTAATGAAGTCTTTCGTCATCAATTAATGTCTTTTACTAGCAGTGTGCGATTCCAGTGCGCTTTTCACGGAGTGTAACCATTTCCTTGAGCGTCATAATGAAATCTACAGAAATTTTTCCGCAAGAAAACTTTTAAACAAATACGCCCCCATTCCTAAGCTTCTTTTGTGGTATGGAGTCATCGATCGAATTGAATTTGCAGGGCGATTATGCTTAGCTTGTCAGATAACTGGTGTTTTGTTCCAGATCCTGAATGTGGATGTCGCTTCAAAAAAACTCGGAAAATACATCTAAACGTCAATTAATAAGGGGAACACTTCAAGATAATGACAAAAAAAAAATCATCTACAATTTAGTCCTAGGCTTTTGTCTCATCGAAAAGACTTTACTCCATCTGTCATTGAGATACAATGAATATGTGAAGTTCATATATCGTGCATCATACGTATCCATCTGTCATTGTTACTAAATTTACGGTCTTCTGTTTGTGATTTTACCGCTGTAGGTTTACAAACAGGAATGCCAAACAGTGATCAGTGTGGTTAAGATGTTAGTGAGGTGAGGGAATAAATCGTGTTTGAATGAGTTTCGAACATCTAAATCCTTTTTAATTACTTTTATTTAGCTCTTAGTTCTTCATGCGGAATGCAGTTTGTAAAGGTATACACATGAAAAAAATTATTCACCAGCATTTTACTTTACAACAAATGCGGGTTTTTAAAGCAATCTCCAATTCAGTTTCGAAAGTAGTCCGAGGTCGCATTGAGTCTGCTTCACTTCGCTCTGTGATTGGTCCAGAAAAACTCGCGCCAGTCTCGTAACCGATTCAATTAGTCATCCGCGTTTTCCAGCGCATTAGGCAGTTTGACTGTTTTTACTTTGAGTCCTCAGATTGGATTTACTTGAAATTTTTGCCTCTGTTTTCAGTTTTAAAGGCTCTAAGAGTAACAGAAATATTGAACTGTTCGAATTCTCTCAACCCTTTTCGTGCTTACACGAGGATTTGTAGTCCTTTTGAAGCCATTTTATAATGTTTCACAGAGGTACGCGCGATTGTAAAGCGCCACAACCATCTTTAGATACCCTCATCCAAAATACGTTACATTGGAAATCCTACATAATCCATATAAAGAAAATGAGCGGATTTATGTAGGGAGTCAAAGTTAAAACAGACTTATTTCCGTTTGTTTCTTTCCTCCGTCGAAGGAGCTACACCGGAAATACGTCAGTCACCTAGGATGAAGCTTAACCAACGAATTCGATTTTTTTTTCTTCTCTGTTAGTAATGATCCAAGACTGGAAGGTCTGTTACAGAATGCTGTGCGTCGCACCCTACAGGATATGGGACGAAGATGTCTGCAAGAGCTTGAGAAGCAGGCTCTTCCTTGAACATAGATTCCTACGCTTTCTTCCCAGTAGTCCGGTCCTCATCCTCGTTTTCCAGATTAGCGTGTTATATGGAAATTGAGAGGATGTTATGTTGCTCTACAATAAAATTGAAACCGGCACGTATTCCTTGAAAAGTTTTCCTTGACAGTTTAGAGGGTGAACCATGTCTAGACTATCAGTCCAAACAAAGACTCGTTAAGACTTTAAAAAATATGACAAGGGCGACGACGGGAACTTATTGAGAGAAAACAAAAATTAACGAGCAGAAAAACCACGTGCGTTTTTTAAAATTTTGTACATTTTCAATCGGTTATTTGCGAAACAAAATGGCGTAAACCCACCAAATTTTGTTCAGTTTGAGAGCAATAGCATCAGACGGCAAACTATTCACGTTTCCATTTATAATTTTTTGCAGTTTGAGAGCAATAGCATCAGACGGCAAACTATTCACGTTTCCATTTATAATTTTGTGCAGTTTGAGAGCAATAGCATCAGACGGCAAACTTTTCACGTTTCCATTTATAATGATGAATATTTATTTGTGAGATGAGGTCTGATGCTGACATTTGCAAAATTCTTAACTAAAATAAAGTTCATTTTTCAGCAAGCTTTTCCTTGGCGTCACCGTTGGGACCGCTCAACCTCCCCCAATGTCGAAACTCGTAGAAATGGAATTTTTTCAGCATGTCTTATATTCTTTTAAAACAAGCCTTACCATGATTTCAAAGAAAGGCGTTGAGCCCCGTTCCAGAAAGGTGACAAATTCGCCGTCTAGAGAAACACCTCCCAAACTCCAAGTATTGACCATGTCAAAGCAAAGAAATGTTCACCCGAAGTCGTGAAGTACACGTGCTTTGGGATCGTTTTGCATGCTTTGTATTTCTTACGAGTGGTTATGTAAACCAAACTTAAAAGTAACAGCATTGTTGAGTTATTTTCTTCCAATTAAAGTTTTATAGGTTGCAATTTTGTAAGACGTGTTTTATCAAAGTCACGATGAATTCGAAATAAAGATTGTTTCAACATAATACTGTCTTTGTTTTTCGTTCGCGGCTGTTAGGGCCAGGCTAAACTAGGAAACTTTGTTGCGGAAACATTGTTTCCTGTTATGTTTCCCGGGGTGGCTAAATTAGCCGGAAACATCAAAATGTTTTGCTGCCCCAGTGGCTAAACGATAAAACATTGTTTCGGAAAACAAATGAGCTACGCATGCGTGTATGAATAAACTTACCTAGAGGGAATCTGGGGATCAAAGGATGTTCACATTTTCATCGTATCAAAGCCGTTTCTGGCATTCTGCACAATAGTAAGGAACTTCAGCAACTTGTACCACTTCCAAGAAGAGTGGTACACATCGCTTGTTTGTTGACCGGACTTCTTTTTTCTTTCCAGGGCCTGTTCCCTCATAAATTGTGACCTGATAATTTTCCACTTGCTCTTGTAATCCTCCCGGCTGATATAATATTTTTCTCTCATCAGTAGATCGATTTGCGAATACGCCACCTCCTTACTGTCCCTGTTCATGTAGTCCTTATGACCCACGTCCCAGAGAGAAGGCCTTTCCTCCTACAGCATAATTAGCATTTCAATTTCTTCATCTTTCCAATTCCTTTCCCTTTCCTTTCACTTTCTTTGAGCGTGACCTGCTTGAATTTCTTCGCAGTCAGTCATTTTAATTGTTGTCTGCTCACCGTTGCTATGAAACATTTTTCAATGTGCGAGCGGGAATGGCAACTAATCAACATCGTTTTCGTGGCTAAACTGGGAAACATATGTTTCAGACGCAAAATTTCTGTCCGGGAAACAAACATGTTTTTGTCTGCAGGCAAAAACAATTTTTGTTTCCGAGCAGCAAAATTTGTTTCCGCAACATATGTTTCCCGCGCGGCTAAACTGGGAAACATTTGCCTCCGCAACAAAGTTTCCTAGTTTAGCCAGGCCTTTAAGGATTAAGAGCAAACCATAAAAAGTAGCATTATCATGTGCATTCCTGACGAAGGCGCGAAATGCAACACAAACATGCGACATCAAGGCGTGTTTTGTGTCCAAAATGGCGTTAAAATGAATGATTTCATTTCATCTGTCAACTAGCATCTAACTATCAAAGAATCAACATTAAATGAAAGAAATCAATTGGAAAAAGTAGCCAGATAGCATTGCGTGGTACAGTTATCATTTCGCGGGGCAATTCGTACTAGTACTGTTGATATCCCAGGCAAAAAAAATGCAAAAGAAATGTAAAGTCATTAATCAACGGCTTGCTAAAAAGGCCAGTAAATTAGCATTATATTCGCGAAACATGCGTGCGTCAAAGGGAAGAAACAAGGTTTTTTCCAAGGTCAACATTTTCTTTAAATGAGTTGGGAGGATAACGTGCGAGCGAACTATCTCCCAAGGATCGGGAGAAAAGAAGACAGACATTTGGAAAGAGAGAAAAGTTCTCGCTGGCTAAGAGGGGAATATATGTCTGAAATTCAGGGTGGAATTAGTAGTGTTGTAGGCCGTTCAACAATGCACTCATGTTAGCATGTCAGACATCCAAACTTTTATTCCGAGCAAGAAGTTAAGGCTTTGAAAATGTTTGACTTTTCCGACCAATTATTTCCTAAACGCTGAAAGTTTGCTCAGAGTTTCCGAAACAAGTGGAAGTAGACGATCGCTGGACTTGAAAAATGTAAGACTGTGATAAGCATATTGTGATCATCAAACAACCAGTTTAAAGAAGTCACTGAGGAGGTGTGTACCCCTTTCACGGAGGAAAAAGAATAAGACACCACGTGCAGTGTGCGCCTGCGCACAAATGATGTCTATGTATCACAGTCCGGTTCTGTACCCGTGTACCTGACCAATAACAAAACTCATCTTGTACCCGGATCCTCCTGGTGTCGTGGGAGATTGGCTTTAGGTATTTCAATGGAAAGGTACGTGATACTATTTATTTTCTATTGCTTATTTCGCACTTGAGAAAGTACCTCTGAGCTAGCAAATTAGGGCGCGAGAAAAGCGGTTTTCACTTCTATGAGAAACACAATTGACCCTATTCGTTTGTTATTTACAAAAACCAGGATTTGCATGTTGGTTGATGCAGGCAGACTAGCTATGTTGGGAGAACGACAGTCAAAATAGAAACAGGAAAGTAAATGGTTTGTTTCCGATGGGCATGAACTCGTTTCAAACAATGTCGTAGTGTTAGATAAACAGATAAATGTAGAGTCAGTGTAAGAAAAATAAGCAAATTCAGTAAATATTGTTCATATGAATAGCAGGTGATCGCCAATCGTATGTAAGTACACTTTCCAGTCTAACAGTAAGCGCTTTTTTTCTGAAGGTAGGCTTTTGTGAGAGGTGAGTTTCTAGGTTTATATCTTAACATCTGGCATTTTTGTAGTTACAGGATTGGCTATTAGTGTAAATTTACTATAAGTCACACGTCTGTTGTTAATAAAGACTTTACGTTACGTTACCTTACTATGGTGTACAAAATTGATCACTTTCTTGCCCCAATGTGTATATTTGAGTAATATGTGGGGCATGGTTAAGGTTTTACTATTTACAACCTTCGAAATTGTAAGATAACTTGATTCATTATCCAACTCTGCTTCGTAGAGTACAAATAACGCCCCAAACGAGTACAAATATCTCGCGGTATTTGTACTCCAGAGAACCGGTTAGACAGGTTTTCTCGTATCGCGCAAGCATCGAATTGAAGTTAACAAAAAAAAAACAGCGGACAATCTAAATTAATTTTTCTTACAACGAAGAGTCGGAATGGCGAATATTGATCCAAGTTTATTGGATAAATTGAACGAAGAAAAGCAGTTACTAACTGCTAACGTCTAGTAGACGGCAATGAAATTTCCGCGCCAATTCCGTTTCGCTTCACATACTTCTTTCTCGCACTCCCCTTAAATAAATATTAGCGAAATTCGCCCGCACTGAAATAACAATTTGGCGTGTTGGATAATTTTGACTCACCCTTAGGGCTCGTCAAAATACGGTACAACTCGTAAAATACTCAGCGATACTACACTACAAAACGTTTAATAAGATATTTACATATTCCAAAAGTTCAAATCATAATGTTCAGAGACGGCTTCGCATTAACGAAAGCGTCTGACAGGGTGGAATCCACTAACTTGTAATAATCAAGTTGCTGCCATCTACTTGTGCCTCGAGGTAGAAATTATTTGATCAGGTTTTCATTTCGAAGACAAGTAATTAAACGTTAGAAATATTTCTTTTTATCAATGATATCTATCTTTTACCATTAACTTATAAAGATTAGTGTAAGCCCTGCTTGGCAAAACTAGGCGCAAAGAATACAAATAAATAAGTTCAGTTCTCGGAAACACTTAACGATGAAATTATTTCTTCTTCCAATGTGCTGCAAAATTGTGATGCTCTCGAAAAAGGTCGTCTGAGGACCACCGACAGGAAGAAATTAACTGGTCAGTCATTTTTTTGCGAAATAAGAACTGAAACCAAAGTCACATTTACTGAAGAGGAGTCCATACTGCTATAAACATTCTGCGACGTGTCTTCCCAGAAGAGAGCGTCATCTGAATGAGACCTTGACTATTTTCACTGGGTCCGCAATGGTATCGCAAATAAAATGTGGCTAAAGAGTGAGGGATTCGATTCTCAGTTAAGGCCACGATCCGAGACAGAGGAACCTGGACCAAGAGAGGGAAATGGTTACAATGATCAACAGGGGAAAAAAAATGTCTCAAAAACTACAATATAATGATTTTGATGAATTTCTTTATCATTCAATTTAAAAGCAAACTACAGAAGCCGGTTTTAGATGGAATATTTTTTCAGTTTCTGTCGTTCTTTTTGACGGTTTTATATAAACACTTACCACGTAAGTTTCTTTCTCAGATAGTTGGAAGTTTCCTCGTTCCAATAAGTCAAAGGATGCTGTTAATTCTCCCTCAACGAAAATGTTGTGGAATTGCCTAGCGCCCCCTTTTGCGGGGTGTTCTTCCCCAACTGGACAAATTGTTACTTTCTTGTTATGAACATGCTCATACTGCCGCACCAATGAGCATATCTAGATAAAAAGGTACAAGTATATTTTCAATTGACTTCGTGGTCCAAATCTAAAAAATTACATATCACCTGATCAGTTTGTTTCTCACAGATCTGATAGTCACTTTGCGTTTCACTGAAAGGGTGATATAAGGGTTAGTTTCACTTCTTTTCTTCATACTCTCATTCAAAATGAACCATTCAGACGGTTCAAATACCGACTGAGACACCATGTTGGTATTTCATCGAAAAGACACAACTCCAATGATACTTCTCTCTCAAGCTCAACCCAAGGCTAAGAGCATGACTACGCAGCGGGAACTTGTTAATTCTGTGGAGCAACCCATAATGGACTTATTTTCTGTCTTTGGGAATGCAGGCAAAACTACAAGCCTAACCGAAAAAGGAAGAAAAAAAGAGGGCATCAATTGCTGGAACGGACTACGTTTTAAATTAATGATGAGTTCTCTTACCACACCAGAATTTTTCACCGCCAAAAAATGAAAACAAATTAACTGGACTTCTGGATGGGATACTTGCATCACGAAGCATGTCATGGGGCGAGGTGAGAGTGGAACTGATTCTGATAACACCGAATGACCTTCAAGAAACAGAAAGAGTACACTGTGGTTTTTGTCTTTGGTTTTGTTTGTCTGGTTATTTTTTTCAGGTTTGTGACATCTATCTCCTAGTAGAATGGTAATGCTCACATATTTCACATGGTATACCTATTGATCTCTTTCTGACAAGCTTATTACTCAAAAGCTCTTGCTGCTTTTCTAGTTCTGCGTCCTCCTTCTTAATCTCTTGTTTCCTTTTTTGTATGTATGTTTGTATTTATGTATTTTGGCAAGCTTATTACTCAAAAACTCTTGCTGCTTTTCTCGTTCTGCGTCCTCCTTCTTAATCTCTTGTTTCCTTTTTTGTATGTATGTATGTATTTATGTATTTTGGCAAGCTTATTACTCAAAAGCCCCTGCTGCTTTTATCGTTCTGC